ACATCTCCACAATTAAAAGGAAAGTAACTACTGATAATATGTAACACCATGAATGAATTTCAGGTCAAAAGAAGCAAGACACAAAAGAGTGTGTGTTTGGTGATTCCATTTAGATGCAGCTCTAGAAAAGACAAGTCTAGTTTATAATGACAGAAGATAGATTAGTGTTTCTTTTATAATGACAGAAGATAGATTAGTGTTTCTTTGGGCTTTGGATTGTTTCAGGCAATTTACTCAAAATGGCACAAGGTTATCATTTTAGCTGATGGAAATATTCTGTCTTGATTGTATTCTTGATTAAATGAAAGTATGCATTTTTCAAAATTTATTGAACTTTATCCTTAAAATTAATACATGGTATTGTATGAAAATTGTATCTCTTTAAAGTTGACCTAAATCAGAGGATATGTTTGTCAGTTGATTGTACGATAGAGGGAATTTGTGAAATGGAATATTAACCAAACTGCTGTTATGAAAAGAGAAAAGTAAAATACAGAAGACAGCAACATAAAGTATATAGTGAGGATGACTTAGACACTTTTATTCAGTCTTACGAAGGGTGTCATCAGCAACAGGAACTACTTTAGGCAGAAGAGAAGTAGTCCAAGATGGATGCTTTGAGTTATAAGTATTGAGCAAAGACAGTGGTCAATATGTGTCTAAACATAAAAGAAAATAATGCTTCTTAGTAAAGTACACAGAACAATAGCATAAATAGGGAGGAGGTCTGAGTCTTACAATGACGGGTAAAGATTTTGAATAACTTTAGATTTATATCCTAATTTCAGGGTTAACTTCAAAAAGCATAGAAATAAAAGGACACAATTTTCAAATTTATAGGGAAAAAAATGGAATGAAAAATATTCAGTCAATTCCAAAATTTGCAAGAAAGGAGAGAAACAGAAACATAGAACCTTGATAAATATAGAACAAAAGTAGATAAAAAATGTAAACCCAAATATATTGGTAACTCTTTTAAATTTAAATTACTAAATTCAGACAAAAATGTCAGAGTGTTTTTATTTTAAAAGGATATCCCACATTAACAATACAGAAAGCTTGTAAAATAATTGAAAAAGCTCTGTTATGGAAACAATAGAAAAATGTTTTATTTTATAGCTGTTTAATATGAGACCATATAGTCTAATGCAGAACTCATTGCTAGAAATAAAATAGGTCGCTTAATAATTGTATAAAGTTCTATTCACCAAGAAGCCATAAAAGTTATACAATTATAAACACTTTGTAATACAGCCTCAAAAATATATAAAGCAACAATCAAAGAAATAGAAAAATACACAGTTTTATGGGAGATTTTAGATACTTTTCTCAACAGTTGGCAGAGACATAACAAATGAATAAGGATGATTTAAAGAGTACAATTAATATGGCTAAACTAATGAACAAATACAGAATGCTGTATCCACCAATTTAGAGTGCATATTCTTTTCAAAAATATGTAGAGAATATTTAAAAGTTGTCTATATCGACCATAAAAACAATCTCAGAAAATTTTAGAGAAATTTTCAGAAATAATATTGGGTGTTTTCTTCAAATAAATTAAGAAATATGCTTCCAAAACTATGGATCCAAAAAGGAGTCATAATAGAAATTAGGAAGTATTTTGACCAAATAATGAGAAAATATGAATGTATCAAAAGTTGTGGAATGCAGCTAAAGGAGTACTTAGATGGAAATTGATAGCTTTAAATACATATGTTAGGAAAGAAGAATGGCTGAAAGTTAATGAGATAAACATCCATTTAAAAAGGAAAAATAAGAGCCAAATAAACTCAAAATAGAGGACATGAAATAAAAGCAGGAGCAGAAATTAATGGATAAGAAAACATACATACAAAAGAGAGGATCAAGGAATCAAAAACCATTCTTTTTAAATTAAAAAAAATTGAGAAACCTTTAATGAACTTGATTGAGAAAAATGAGAAAGCATAAGTAGCCCAAGTAAGGAATGAAAAGCAAAAAGGACACAATTGCTGATGTTGTTGACATTAGATAGATAAAATAATATACTGAAACATTTTATGCAAGTAAATTGAGAAATATAGTTGAAATGGGTAGCTAACATAAGAAACAGAATACCTTGGGTGCCTGGGTGGCTCGAACTCAGTTAAGCCTTTGACTTTGGCTCAGGTCACGCTATCATGGTTCATGAGTTTGAGCCTTGTGTCTGGCTCTGTGCTAACAGCTTAGAGCCTGGAGCCTGCTTCAAATTCTGTGTCTCTTTCTTTGGAGGATCTGAAGCAGGCTCCTCACTGAGAGCAGAGAAGCTGATGAGGGGCTTATACCCACTAACATGAGATCATAACCTGAGCCAAAGTGGACGCTTAACCGACTGAGCCACCCAGGTGCCCCACATGGTGTTATTTTAAAAGAATATAGCCAACATTATATTTAATGATGAAACTTTTAATCTTTCTCATTTAGATCAGATATAAGTAATTAACCTTAAAAATAAAACTGACAGTTATTTTACTCGCGAAAGATGTATTTATTTAGGAATAGCAGAGAATTGTCATCCTGGACAAGCAAGCTAGGGCAAAACCATAGGCAAGTCCCCTGAACAAGTTTCTTTTTTTATAGAGGAAAGGAGGAAATTGGATGGGCTCTTATAAACACCGGAGCAAACTGGGAGTTCAGAGTATAGTGGCCTATCTTTGGCTGAGTTATAGAAATCTCTCATTGGCTAAATTGTTGCCAGGGGAGGAGGAAAGCCTTTTTTTTTTTTTTTTTTTTTTCCCCTTCCCTTCCGGGACAGTCAGGTAGTATCCACATGCAAAGTTCCTCTCTACTTTTAGGTCTGCAATGACAACTTGTGGTAGGACATGAGAGCTCCCACTGCTGGCCTCCTGCCTCCATTCTAAATGAAATTTCCTTTTATTAATTTTCACAAAGTTGAGGATGTCTACTATTATCACTAATTTTCAGTATTATAGTGGAGGCCCTAGCTAAGGCAGTAAGACAAGAACAGGAAAAAAAGAAAACAGTAAGGATTTGAAAGGAGAAAACAAAACTACCATTATCTATTGATGATGTGTTTGCATATGTAAAGAATATCCAGATAAGTTTTTAGCAATGTTGCTTGATATTGAGTCAATATACAAACATCAGTTATGTTTCTATTAACTTATAAGAAACGAAACTTTTGATTAAAGGTGTTTACAGCAGCACCAACACTATGTACTATGAATAAGTCTTAACAGGATATATGTAAGACCTTGGTCTTATCTAGGGAGGAGCTCAGAAACCCAATAAAACAAGAGTATAGGTCCTTGTTTGCTTTCTTCTTTTCAAATTTAAATCTAAGGAAACATTCAGCATTTAAATTCAGTTGGTTTATATAGGCTATAGGCTATATTTTGTCCAATATATATCACAGAAAAACATCTTATAATAGTTGTTTAAAATGTTATTTTTGGAGCACATTGGTAAATAGAGTATCTTAGTAATAGAAAGAGATTTGGAGTTCTTTCAGTCTGAGTCTTTACCCAAACTGGAAGTCTTTTATATAGCATTTTTGAAACGTCTCTCTGGTGATAGTTCATTCACTTTCTGCCTAAAAGTTTCAATATAGGAACTAGTACTGAATTGTTTCACAAAGATTTTATTAAGTACATATTTAACAGGTATCATGATAACTATTTTGTCAAATCTAAGACATCATCAGTTGTAAGTTGCATCATTTCTTCATATTCTACTAAATTAAAAAAATGTTGCCACTTCTTGGCTATAACACACCATTGATTTTAATGTACATCTTGATTTCAAAGACACTTTAAAAAATTTTTTAAAGCATCTTATGTGGGTGCCTAGGTGACTCAGTCAGTTGAGCATCCAACTCTTGATTTTGGCTCATGTCATGATCTCATGGTTTGTGAGATCAAGTCCCATCCTGGGCTCCTTGTTGACAGCATGGAACTTGCTTAAGATTCTCTCTCCCCCTCCCCCTCCCCTCCCCCTCTCTCCCTCTCTCCCTCTCTCCCTCTCTCCCTCTCCCTCCCTCCCTTCCTCCCTCCTTCCCTCTCTCTCTCTTGCTTGCACACACTCTTAAAATAAATAAACATTTTTAAAAAATGAAGCATTTTGTGAATTATGAAACATTTCTATGGAAGTATTTCCATTGTTTTACAGTTTAGGAATACCACTAAAAAATATCTATTTTACTTTTCATTGTTCAGACCTATCATGCTACCTTTAAGATTGTTCATCCCTAATTTAAGCATTATTAAATTAGTTCCTTTTCTTGGTTTCTTAGATATTTTGCCATTCTGGTCATTTTTCTTGAGATGCTTTGTAGTTTATTAACTTGCTTAAAATAAGATACAGGCTTCAAAAAGAAAAGTGTAAAATACTAAAATCAGTTTATTCAGAAGGTAGAATACTCTTGTAAATTCATGAACTAGGGTCTTGTTAACTTGACAAGATATTCAGTAATTTTTTTCCTTAAAACAATGTAGATTTAAATTTTGTACATCATACTTTTCACAACAAGATTTTCTCCCCATTGATACTCATTTACTCATTCTCGTAATTGGGATTAAAGATGCCACTTTCTTTTACGTTAACGTTTTTTGTAACAAATATAAACTGGAAGGTAGTACACATTTTTAATTCTCTCTACAAAATTACAAAAGAGAAATCTCCCTATAATATTTCAACCTTAGAATATTTCTTTAACCAACTGAGCCACCCAGGCACTCAACCTCAGAATATTTCTAAAGAACAAAGATACTTACTTGTTTTAGTATGAATATTTACATTTGATTATTTTAATTTCTTCACAATCATGTAATTTCTGATAGTCATTGTATGATTGTTTATGGTGTATTGCCTACTTCAGCTTAATACACCTTAAGGAAAAATGACACCTTATAGGATGTAAAATTTATAATTTTTTAAATCTATAGATTTCATGGTTTTTGATGATTATAAAGTTAAACTCTTCCAGTAGGTTATATATTTTTCTCTCTTTTACAACACAGGTTTTGAGAGTATTTTAGAAGGGCTTTATGGACCACGGCTACGAAGAGACCTCAGTTTATTTGAAGGTAATGCTTTTTAAATTTTATTTTAAAATTCTGACCTCCTGTCCCATTTAACAAATGAAAAATTGTTCTATACTCACTTTATATTAAATATGAATTTGTGGTCTTGTTTAATTAGTATTTTTTAAATGAATGAAAACATCCAACTGTTGTTTTTGTTATTAAATAATGTTAGTATAGTCATTTTAAAAACTTTAGTACACTGATCAAAATGGAAACTGAAGCTTGTTTTTGGCTTAATGGTGAAATTTAATTTTTATTATATATTATGTGCCCTCACTCTTCAAGAAGATTTCAAGGGGGTTCAATTAAGTAAATATTTTCTGGTGCTCATGAGATAGGCAGCCTGGAAATCATATCGTCATTCTGAGAAATCCTGCCATGTGTGTTCAGAGTATTTTTGTGTAATACTATTTGTTATTTATTATAGCCACCTCTTTCAAATGCTATAGCACAAATCCTAGTGGAAGACTTTGATTTATGATATAATTGCAGTGATACCTTAGTTTGGTTGTTTTATTGCTTGCTTGAAAATGTAGAGCACTAGGAAAGAACATTTTGTAGACCTCTGAAATTATATTACAATTTATTTCCAAAATGGGTAGTGCTAGTATAGATTTTCTACTTTGATTTTGATCAAATTATTTCTGAGTCTTGTATGGGGTCAGTTTTATGTGCTAACTCTGTTACCTTCTATTCTACTTTCGTACCTTCCCTTCTACCAAGACCCAAGACGTCTCTAAAGGCCCTTCTTTCTTCTGTATAAATAAGTCTTTTGAGTTGAGGGAGTGATGGTGGGAGTAGTCAGAAGTTTTCTGCTCTTTCTTTATTTTTTAAAAATATTTTTTAATGTTTATTTACTTTTTGAGAGAGAGACAGAGAGACAGAGTGTGAGCGGAGGAAGGGCAGAGAGAGAGAGAGGCAGATGCAGAATCTGAGGCAGGCTCCAGGCTCTGAGCTGTCAGCACAGAGCCTGATGTGGGGCTTGATCCCACTGACCGTGAGATTTGACCTGAGCTGAAGTTGGACGCCCGAACGACTGAGCCACCCAGGTGGCCCTGCTCTTTCTTTATTAATGTTGAGCAGAACAACTGAGTTATAAGTTCCAGATCTAAAAGTATCTATGAAAGATCATTTGTCCCAACCACCTGTCTTCATTGAGATGAATTGATATACATGTAGAATACAACTTTAAGAATGGAGATTCCAAAATGTGCTTGCTCTACCGTTTTATTATTCTTATAGCTTAGATAAAATTTTAATTTCTCTAAGCTTTAATCATTTCTCATGTTGTCATAATTCAACACTGAATTATTTTTACCTGATATATTTTTTAGCAGTTCTAACTGTAGTTTACCTGTTTTTCTGATCTTACAAATGAACAAAGGAAACATTTAAAGAAACAAGAATTTAACCTATACTTGACGTTTCTTCAGCTTTCCTTTCTTAACCTGTTCTCATTCATGTCAGAAGTGAGCCTTATACTAATTGCCTTCTGACCACCCAAATTACAACTTGTGACTCTTAGCCTGTTGCTTCCCTTACTTTCATTTATTTATTTATATATTGCATATATATGTATATATATGTTCCTTCAGAAATTGTTTATTATGCAAAGACAGAATATTCTAAGGAAATAAATGCTTTATATTTTGTTTTTAGACTAGCATTTCTTTAGTATACAAGTTGTACATATTTATTTTAGGAAATTTGAAAATACAGATAAGCCAGAAAGAAAAAATTACCCGAGTCCCACAATCCATAGATAACCTTTAAACATTTTTATATAAATGTAAGATATATTATGCTTGTATATACTTATTCTTTTATTATAGTAGTGCATACCATATGCACAGTATATATAGTTTCTGTGCCCTATCCTGTTTGTTCACTGGTATATAATTTTGGTATAAAGCCTAGATAATCTTTCATCTTTCTTACAGTATTTCATTATAGATCTGTTTATAATTAATTTACCTAGTTAATTTAATAACCCATTGCTGTATACCTTATTCCATTTATTTAAATTCAGATAGACTTACACTTTATGTCCTTTTTAGTGCCTTTTTTTGGTGGCAGGAGTTAACAAAATTAGCTAAGCTTTGGAACTTGCATATAGGCACATTCATTGCCTTTTTTCACCCCCGGATATTCTTTCACCAGGTTTCTTAGGTAAATTCTTTCTCTTTTTTCTTGCTTTCTGATTTAAAAAAAAAAAAAAAAAAGCCTCTAAATTGTAGTCCTAAGAATGATGATATTAATATTATACTAACCTTTAAGCTATGCAAGGATGAAGACAGCCATATATTTTGAAGGAAAATTAAATCAGTTCTATCAAAAATGAAGAGGCTTTGGGGCGCCTGTGTGACTCAGTCGGTTAAGTATCCGACTTCGGCTCAGGTCATGATCTCACGGTTCGTGGGTTCAAACCCCGCGTCGCGCTCTGTGCTGACAGCCAGCTCAGAGCCTGGAGCCTGCTTCAGATTCTGTGTCTCCCTCTCTCTCTGACCCTCCCCTGTTCACACTGTCTCTCTCTCTCAGAAATAAATAACACATTAAAAATTTAAAAAAAAAATGAAGAGGCTTTTGAAAAGTCATGTAAAAACTATCCATTATAGACATCTCCAGCTTTTTCCTATCTCTTATAAATAAGTATGCTTTCTTTGTCGCCAGTGTTAAAAATGGTTTAATATTTAGATGCTGAGACTACAAGTATAGGGATTTCCCACTATACAAATTTGATTGCAGAATTCATATAGATTAGCGTATGTTTTCAGACAAATCATTGGAAATTTGAACCTTTGTTACTCACTTTGCAAAACTCAGAAACTAAGTATATTAGATAGCAAAGGATTCTTCTATATTACCCTAAATTATTATTTTTTGTTAAAATTAAACTTTTAAGCAAAAATTCCCTCTTTTTTTCTGCTTTAGTCAGTCCTTTCTCATGCCTTATTTGTGAGCTGGTTTCTTTCACCTGTAGGATTGTCTGATTTATTTGTGACTACGGACATTTACAAAAATATGAAAAGAGTGCAGTAGGCCTATGTAAACTGGCTGATAGATCCTTATTGGTTTTTCTTAGGTGTGTTGACATTTCAAAGCGAGATTATATCAGATGTCTGCAAGTTATAGCATGTGGGGCAAATATAGCTCTTTGACTGTTTTTGAATGGCTTCTAAGCTATAAGTGATTTTTACATTTTTAAATAGTTGGGGAAAAAACAAAAAAATTAATAGTTCATGACATGTGAAAATTATGTGAAGCTAAAATTTAATTGTCCTATTAATAAAATTTTATTGGAAACAGCCCCTCTCATTTGTTAAACATTGTCTGTGTCTACTACAACAGTAGAGTTGAATGGTGTGACAGATAGAATGGCTTGAAAATCTTAAAATATTTACTATTGGGCTGTTTATAGAAAAGTTTTTCTGACCCTTGACTGTACCATTGATTGAAATTTAATATTTTTGACATAATGTCCTTTTTACAACTCTAAACACTGTGATGATGGAGACAAAACTTTTATTTTGAGAGAGCGAGCCTGCAGGTTGGGGAGAGGGGCAGAAAGAGAGAGAATCTCAAGCAGGCTCCATGCTTAGTGCAGAACTCAGCTTGGGGCTGGATTCCATGACCCTGGATCATGATCTGAGCTAAAATCAAGAGTCAGATGCTCAATCGACTGAGCCACCCAGGCGTTGCACAAAACAGTTTTTAAAAGATTAGCTGAAACATTAAAAAAAATTTTTTTTTTAATTGTAGAGAGTACAAGTAGGAGAGAGGGGCAGAGGGAGAGAGAGAATCTTAAGTAGATTCCATGCTTGGTATGGAGCTCACGCAAGGCTCAATCCCATGGTCATGACCCCAGATGAAATGAAGAGTCTGATGCTTAGGCGCCCACCCCACTCCCCCAATTTTTTTTATATGACTATAGTTGACACACAATATTACATTAGTTTCAGGTGTGCACATAGTGATTGGACTTCTCTATATGTTATGCTATGCTCACCCCAAGTGTAGCTATCATCTGTAATCATACAGTATTACAAAATCATTGACTATATTCCGTTTGCTGTGCCTTTTTATCCCAGTGACTTATTCATCCCGTAACTGGAAACCTATTATTCCCCACTCCTCTTCATCCATTTTTCCTGTCCTCCCACCCTACCCCTTACCTCTGGCAACCACCAGTTTATTCTTTGTATAGGCCCTGTTGTGCTTTTTCTTTATTCATTTGATTTTTTTTTTCTAGATTCCACAGGAGTGAAATCATATGGTATTGGGGTCTTTCTCAGTCTGACTTACTTCACTTATATTACTCTCTAGGTCCATCCATGCTGTCAAAAATGGCATGATCTCATCCTTTTTTAAGGCTGTGTAATATTTCTGTGTGTGTGTGTGTGTGTGTGTGTGTGTGTGTGTGTCTTTGTGTCTGTGGTGTGTGTGACATCTCTCTTATCCATTCATCTATCAGTGGACACTGGGTTGCTTCCTGTATCAAGGTTATTATAAATAATGCTGCAGTAAAACATAGGGATGCATATATCTTTTTGAATTAGTGTTTTTGGGGACTTTTGGGATAAATATCAGTAAAGGAATTACTGGATCATATGGTATTTCTATTTCTAATATTTTGAAAAAACCTCCACACTGGTGTACCAATTTTTCTTCCCACTAACAGTGTACAAGGGTTTCTTTTTCTCTACATTTCTCTCCAACTCTTGTTGTTTCTTGTGTTTTTTAAATCAAGTTTTTATTTAAACTCTAGTTAGTTAACATACAGTGTAATGTTAGTTTCAGATGTAGAATATAGTGATTCATCACAACACCCAGTGCTCATCACAAGTCCCTCCTTACTACCCATCATTTATTTGCCTTTTTGATTTTAGACATTCTGACAGATACAAGGTGATAACTCATTGTGCTTTTGATTTACATTTCCCTGATGATGAGTGATATTGAGCATCTTTTCATGTGCTGTTGGTTCTTTGGAAAAATGTCTA